GTGGGGACTCGGCAATCTTCATGATCATTTTTTTTTTTGGCGTAATAATATTTATATTAGCAATGATAATAAAAAAAAATAAATATTAACGTTCGATTGACTTAAAATTTTGCAGCCTTGCCGGCTCGGGAAATTTCGTTCACCTTTAAAACACCATTATTCTTGCTTATCTATTCTTGATAACAGTAAGAGTTATTTGAGCTCACTTTTTTTGGGTTTGGCTGCAGGTGTTTAATAAAACACTGTTAAAGCTAGTCTTGGTATATTTTCGTGAAAGTTCGTCGTACAAGCAATGGTATAATCACGCTTTGTACAAGGTGAGTAACCTGGTATCAACAGTTTTGTTAGTCTATATATGCTCTCCAAGCGTAAACGTTATGTATAAAGTACCTAAGAGCATCTCAAAGTGTATAGAAGAAGAAAATTAGAATTATTTCCTCGTTGTGCCAACGCAATAACATGACAGTGAAATAAATTTATAACTATAATAGAACATTCCTTTTCTTTTTAAGAACATATTTTTAAAAGTTAGCTGAACCCGGTAACGCGCTCTTCAAACTTTGTGAATCATTCGGCGCTTTTTGTATTATCTGAGCCATGTTGTTTGAAATTTGACTGTTGATTCAAACAGCGGAACTTTTCATGGTTCCCAACTCAATTAGTAGATGCAAACAAAGACAATTTCAACGCACAGTTTAAAACGCAAAAGTTGTTTAAGTTGGCTAGAGATTCCCTTAATATATTTCGTTTTGTTTTGTTTTTTTTGTTTTTGCGTCCAATTACCCGGTTCTTTACCTACTTTTAAATTTACTGAACCTTATAAAGGCATCGAAAATGAAACACCTTTGTACTAACCGCACTGGTGACAAAACATATGTGTGACGTAAGTTTGTATGTTTTCACAACACTAACGACTTTTTTGGTCAAGCAATGTTGGTAACTTGGTTTCACGTAATAAGGATGAAAGAATAAACCGACCGTATTTGGAGCATCCTCTTGCAAAGAAAATGCGTTTAGGTCAGTGCGCATGTTGGATTAAAACACATGTACGACCGTGTTTTAAAGGCTGTAGTAACTTGTATTTTGTTAGAAAATCTAAGTAGTAAGAAATAAATAAAATGAAGTATTGACCGTCTGAGAGCAGATCTTATAGGCCAAAAACAGTGTCATAAAAAAGATTTTACAATGACTGACAACGCTGTCATTTTGGCATTTTGGCATTTTACAGTCACCAGTCGTTTTACAATTAAACTAACTTTGTAAAAGTTACTTGTTGTCAGTAACATATATAACTTTGTGTGCAACGCCTAAAAAAACCATGACCGTTTTTAATGCACATCTATGAAACAAACAGGAAGTTGTTTAAAATGGATGGAGATTTCTTTCTTTCTTTGCGTATTTGCGTTTTCTTCGTCAACTTGTCATTCGTTACAATGGATTAAATTTGCTCGAGGAAAGTTAAGACGTCTTAATATTTTACAAACTTTTAAAGAAACTGCGTTAACTCGCAAATTTCTCAGCCAGTCTGGTCAAGCAATATTCATAGCTGGGCTTCAGCGTAAGGGCAAAGGCAGAAACTGATCGCAATTTGACCATGTTAACCCTGCTGCGTAATAATACAGCGGATACAGCCTAGTATGTTTTAGGGCGAGGTTAGCTTTGGAAGTAATGCAGTCGAACCTCTCATTATGGACCCCTCTTTACTATACGAACAGTTCCATTGGCTCCAAAATGTTTAACTCACATTTTTAGCTATGAAATGCGGAGACCTGGCTCTATCGCTTTCACTTATGAAGTTGAAGTTGGTACGCAGGAACAACCAACGACGTAATTTACTTAAATACTTTAGAAATCTATTTTAAGCCATCTAGAGTGGTTTTAAACGCATTCTAACCGCGCCATAAACGTTTTATCTGTTTTGTCGTTTCCTAGGCAATACGAACCATTTCGAATCCATTGGGGTCGACTTGTCATTTTCTCAAAAATATTAGTTGATATATTTATACGTCACGAAAACTTGGGATTTTTTTTTAATTATGCATAGTAGCCAATTCTGTGAAGAGAATATGAGAAACTATCTTTCAAACATCAAAGGGAAGGCAAATAGCGAGAGAGAAAATTGAGGCGAAAAGGGTCAGGGTTATACATCACCTGAAACCCCCAAAAAACAAAGGGGGGATATACAGTAGATTGGCTTTGAAAAGCCGGATTTTTCACCTGTATTTGTACTGTAGAAAAAGTCTATTTGAAAAATGAAGGGCAGTGCAAATTTCATTGAAAATGGTGACTATTACCCTTACACTGATAAAAATGAATAAACTACAATTGCAACACACAAGTCCCGTTGTTTGACAATTAAGTAAACGAGATTTTTACCGTCAGCTAGGCAGGCTTTTGATAGGTAAACAGGACAGAAGCATTTGTAGTTGTTCTTGAATTTCATACATTGTCTTTTATTCGGTCCTACCAGACTATGGGTTGTTTTTGACTCACTTATCGTTCGAAGTATATCATGAAGGAATACGTAAAGTCAGTCTTTAGTTTTCCACCTTTGGTAAAACAATTTTAACACGATTCAGTATTGCGGTGTTCGAAATTACAACCTACACTGTATGTAGAAACGTTCCTCCGTTGATAGGGCAGTTCGAAAAAGGCTCACGGCTGAAAGGCTAGAATACAATCTTTTTGCCAGACTGCCAATTTTCTATCCTGTTGAAGCAACAGAGGAGAAATAGTGAACATGAATATAGTTTCAAAGTCATGTGATCATTACGGTACGCCCTCGTGGGTTTTTCACTGTTTATCGTATCGAGAACACCACGCACTGTGCTCTTTCATGTGCTTAGGTTTTCCAAAGTGCCTTTCATTGCCCAGAGATCTTCATTTAAGACATTTTAAAACCTTGACGCCATTTTGGTACTAAGGCATACGGAAAGTTGCCATAGCTATTTTGTAATTTTGCGCCAAAATTAAAGAGTAATTTGTCACCCACGTATTAGAAGAAAAGTAACTCTAGACCCTAGCTAGCTTTATATTTTTAACCTTTAATAAAAATCGTTACAGCCGAAAAGAACTTTGTCGTAAATTCATTCATCCAACTTAACTAACTTATCAAAAGGTGATCTGGCAAAATTTTGCAGAATAAATTATCTCAACTACCATTTATCAGTAACGTCACTATTGATGCACCCTTCTGGTAATTTTCATTTGTTTTATTTTTGTATTAGAATATATTTGTTACCGATTTGTAGAGACAGTACTAAATCCTACGTTCAATAAACTGTATTATTTATTTTGGACTATAATGCTCTATTAAATAGATTTAAAATGATTATTCCACAACTCTATTTCATTGTTCATCCCTCCCTTAGAAAGCTTGAACAAGTCGTACAGTTTTCATGCTACTCTATTTCTAGCAGAGTTCTAATATTATTTGTTCAGACAATTTTAACGGCGGAAGTCTAACAGCGTGTATTCCAAATTATTAAAATTTTTATTATCTATTTGTTATATTTCGCTGATATTTTTGTATAGAACGTGTTTGTTGCCTATTTGAATAAGACGGAACTTAATCCCATGTTAAATGAGCTGTACCATTTATTTGGACTATACCCTATCAAGTAGATTCAGAATGATTATAACTCGATTTAATTCTTTATCATTCTCCCGCCTTAGAAACCTTGAACAAGTCGTGCAGTTTTCATGCGATCTTTATTTCTAGCAGAGTTCTATAATTATTTGATAAGACAATTTTGGCGGCGGAAGTCTACTAGCGTGTAAATCCAACTTAAATCTAAGACAAAAGGTTCTTCATTTGTATAATGATAACGAAATGCAATACAAGACTGTCTCTGTGTGCATGTTGAACATAAAATTCGTCCAGTTCAACAGTTCATTTAAGGCCAGCTATAAATCAAAAGCACCAAGAGAGGATAAAGGCGACAGAGAGGGCATCCCCCATACACACCCTATTCCATAGGTAATTCGTCTCGAGTTAGTTTTAGATTTGGTTTAAAGTTACCTCGCATGACTAAACGCCGTGTAAAACATGTCGGGCGAAAGGCAATGAAAGCGTAAAGAGATCGAGAGCATTTCTGAATTTTGAAGCGAAATGAGTTAGCGCTCACCTGGGAACTTGAGGGAATCGCTGGACTCTTTGACAACCCGTGAAATCAGTTTAACTCGAAATTGTCGTAACCTCAGTGCTTTAATAAAATGAGAAGTTTCGCCGGTCCGAATTGAAACCGGTCGTTTGTACAATAAAGCAAGTAGGACGCCAAGTGTTATTTTTGTTGAATAATAAAAGTCTAATAAAAGAATAAATATCAAACCAGAAATTGCTTTCTTCAAACTGTAAATTATGAATGATCCTGATAGAATATTCAGTGTGTTAAGGATTTCCCTGCTGTACTGTTAGCACTATACAAGAGAGGAAGGGCGATTCTTTTTTAAT